AACGGTAAGTACTGACAGAGATTAAAGGATTGGTGGGGGGAAGCATCTTTCCCTACTGCATGTGTGCACATGTACAGTCTGAGCCCTGCTTTGAAACTATAAATAGGAGTCAGAGGTTCTTGCTCTCAGTTGAAGATGTTTGTGTACCTACCTAGTATCTAATCAAAAGGTCTCTTGTGATGGCAGTGCTTTGGGATTGAGCTATTCTAACAATGGTTGGAAACCTCTCATTAATACAAGTTCATGTCCATAAGCAGCACAGTGCATAAGTCTACACCAGAAAAGGCACAAGCAGAAGGAAAATTCCTTTTGAGAAGGATAGGGCTTTGAAATCAGTGAGTTCCCAAGACCAAACAACTCCTTGTGGAGTTAAGTTTTTAGCACACTCTTGGTACTATACAAACAACACATTCTCAGCAGCAGACATATGCACAGGTTTTCTTGTATAAGCACTTTACAAGGATTTAACACAGGCCAGCTTCAAAGAATCCATGTTTAATAAACATTACAAACAGCATGTATCTTGAAGCTCTAGAAATATACAAACTAATCAGTAATATGATGATTCCCATCCAGACTTACCACAACCAACAAAATAAAAACTACTGGCCTGCTGGTTAATACCCCCCTGACCAACCATCAGCCTACCTTCTCACTAAAAGCAGCATGCCCAGAAGGTCAGCAAATTTAGGCTGTTTCAAAGCATGAGGGGAAGCAAAACTGACTTAAAAGCCCTCCTAGAGAACTCACTGTCACCATTCCATATTAAACCAGGGGCCTGGTGGTTGAGGCACCTCTGATAATTGGCACATCTATTTTCAGAGAGTACCTTTATTTTTGCTGACCCTCAGTGAGCAATGAGGTATTTCTCCCTTTACTGGCAGAATAATTGCTGCAGTTGTAAACCTAGTTGATCTGACAGCTGGCCCTTCTTATTCTGGGGATTGTGAAGTCTTTTTGCAAGAAAACAATTGGCTGGCTATAGGACTAAATAGAATACTTGGATTTTATTTTTTTAAATCCTTTGGGAAGTTGGGATATCTCTAATCTTCTTTTAATGTGCAGCAAGCCACTTAATGCTTTTGTGCTTTCAAAGTAAAGTTGTTTAAGTTAATTTAAAATAAAGGGTTTTTTAAATATTCTTTCTGGTTTGAGAAAGTGGTTACTCTGTGTGTGTTATACGGTATTCATTTTGCATCAGTTTACCTGTTCTTATTGCTCAGTTTTGAGGTTTGGGCCAAAAACTCTTTACAATTCAAAGACTCGTGCACAGTGCCTTCTTTTGACTGGAAACAGAGTTAACTGGTCACTAATGTATATGGAATTCTTTCCTCTCCTTAATGCTCAATTGTCTTGCGAGTGGACTATAATTTCATCTCTTAATCTTGGCAGCCTCTTTCCAAGGCAAGGTAGGGCAGACTTTTTTAGTTCATTCTATATGGCTGAAAAATCAAAGTGCCTTATGTTTTACTATGTGATTCCCTGTCAGTCACTTAGACATTCTTAAAAAGAAAAGGAGTACTTGTGGCACCTTAGAGACTAACCAATTTATTTGAGCATAAGCTTTCGTGAGCTACAGCTCACTTCATCGGATGCATACTGTGGACATTCTTGATATAAGTAGCAGAGTATTCATTGGGGAAAGCTGGCGTGCCTGGACATGTGGAGATAAATTAACACTGTTAAATCTTCCAGGAATGTGTTTATATTACTTGTTTTCTGTAACTTCATTAGAAATGTTTTGGTGGAAAAGGTAACACCGTATTTTTAGCAGGTTTAATTTTATTCATGTTCTGGTCAACTGGATATTCTCTGACTATATATGCATAGTTGAGATGTATGAAGGCACCAGGAGTGTGTGGTGGCGGGGTGGTTACTGACAAGCACTCCTGGCAAGTGACAGTTATAAAAGGGTTAATTTTGGGGCAGTGGTGAATCCATATCTGATAACTTTGCTGTTTAAATGTAGTTGACCTTTGGCAAACAGTGTCCCAGGTAAAAGATTTTGCAAGCCCTGGTTATGTTTGTCTGTCTAGGTACCTACACAGCCCCTTTACCATAGTATCATAGCTCATGGATATTTCAGTTCTGCCACTCCACATGGGTACAAGGAAGCTTTGTTTTTTAGCATTAATACTGTGTTGGGGCTGCTTTCAGCTCAGTTATATCCTTCTCCTACCTGTACGGGTAAACAGCCTAATTCCTGATGCCCTGACCATGTTCTAGCCCAAAATTCCATTGTTACGTATCTCCAACTGGGTGCAGGAGCATCCATCAGGTCCTTTAATATCTCTGTGGCTCCCCTGAGCTAATGGAAATAAACTGTTTGTTTTTAACCCAATAGTTTTTTGGCTGTTTCAAATGATGTTACTCTGAACAGCAAGAAATCTGAACCTTTGCTCCTGGTCATATACCAGGAGCACTTTAATAATGAAATGGAAATTGATCAATGGTACCTTATAGCTAAACTACTGGCATATTGGGATTGAAAATAGGGATATTGCAAACTGGGGACAGAGGGCTGTTAGTACATGTCTGTGGCAGTTTGGCTGATGAATTTGGTGAAATGTATGACTGCACAGGGTGGATATAGAGCAGGGGTGAGCAAACTACAGCCCGGGGGCTGTTGTCGGTAGCTACTGGTGTGGTGCTCTGCTCTTGTTCGATGTTGATAACAGTCGGCTGCGTGCGTGTTCCCTCTATGTGCTGCACCAGCGCTGCGCAGATAGCTGACTCAGCAGACCCCGAGAGAACCCCCAAAGACCACAGACTCTAGTAAGGTACGAAGGCAACCGGCCAGCTTTATTGTCAAACGAAGCACAGTAATGGTTTCCTATAGACTCTACAGGACATACTACGAAAATGTGCCCCCTGGCAATGGACACAGCTCAGTCAGTGGCGGGACACTCCACTGCCCCTTAGGCTGGACAAAGATATGTGCTCCGGGACCTGTTTTTATACAGTTGCAAGACAGATTACTCATCACCACTGATGTATTGAGGTACAGCCCCTTGACTCATTAGGGTGTTGTCTCCCCCTTTGATCATGTTGGTTCAAACAAACAGATCTGTCCATCATGTTGTCCTTTTGACCCTGACTTTGGGATGCACCTGGCTGTTCCTTATTTCTGTGAAGTGTCCTCATATCGGGATGTCCAGGTGCCATCTTGGCACACATTCCTCATATTACTACTTATATCATTAGCACGTGCTTTCCAGGGGCCCTTTTCTTGCCAAGTTCTGCAATTAGGGCCTGCCTTTGGCTCACAGACTTAGCAATGCCTAGAAGTACTTTGGTTCAGGCTTTAGGCCTCAGACCAGGCCTCTGATACAAGGGTTTATGTTTCAGGGCCTCTTACTACAGGGAGCACATCCGGTCCTTCAGATGTTTTAATCCAGCCCTCAAGCTCCCGGCAGGGAGCAGGGCCTGGGGTTTGCCCCACTCTGGTGCTACAGCTGGGGAGCAGGGTCAGAGGTTTGCCCCATTCTACGCGTGCTGTGGCTCCACACAGCTCCCGGAAGCAGCAGCATGTCCCCCCTCTGGCTCCTACGCATAGGGGCAGCCAGGGGGCTCCGCACGCAGCACCCACAGCTCCCATTGGCTGGGACCTGCAGCCAATGGGAGCTGCAGGGGCAGCACCTGTGGATGGGGCAGTGCGCAGAGCCTCCTGGCCGTACCTCCGGTAAGGAGCCAGAGGGGGGGACATGCCACTGCTTCCAGGAGCTGCTTGAGGTGAGCACTGCCTAGAGCCTGTCCCTCTGACCCCCTCCCCTGCCCCAGCCTTGATCCCCCTCCCGCCCTCCAAACCCCTCGGTCCCAGCCTGGAGCACCCTCCTGCACTCCCAATCCCCAGCCCCACCCCAGAGCCCACATGCCCAGCCAGAGCCTGCACCCCAGCCCAGAGTTCCCTCCCACACCCTGAACTCCTCATTTCTGGCCCCACCCCAGAGCCCACACTTCCAGTCGGAGCCCTCACCCCCTCCCACACCCCAACCCCCAATTTCATGAGCATTCATGGCCTGCCATACAATTTCCCTACCCATATGTGGCCCTCGTGCCAAAAAGTTTGCCCACCCCTAATATAGAGGGTCTGTGCACCAGACAGCTTTGCTCATCTTATTTTTGTCAGCAGTAGCTGCATAACAGTACCACACATGTCATTTTATCTGTAATTTAGAAATGTATTTTACAAAAAAAAATACCTGGATCTGATTTCATTCAACAGCTGGTTAAGGCTTGTTGAGTAAATCCTTTTACCTTAGGTAGTTCCAAAGCGCAGAAGAAAATGTCACCAGCAGAGCAGACTGCACTTTGAGATAAATTGTCCTCATTCAGTTTTAAGGCTTCTAGCAGTTTGTAAATAAGCAACATTTCATTTCAAGCATATAACTTCCACTTGTAATGCTACCTTAACCAACTTCCCTGTAACAATACATATGAATTTGGAAAGTTGGTCCTTGAGTCCCACCATACTGTTTGTCTTGTTTTTTCAGTCAAATGCTAACTTTTGCCTCCTGCTCTAAATATCTTTGTAAATTCCAAATAGAAGCATAGGGTCATTCTGTGAGTAAAATAGCAGGTGTCTCTTCAGGGCAGAGTGTTCTCTGCATGCGTTCCTTGCTTGCCTAAATCCCACCCACACTATCACGCCACATGCAGATTTTTTTTAAATAACTTTTGGAGGAAAGGGGGTAGTGTTCAGGTGTCTGAGATGCAGTGGGAACAGGCGGCTTCTCCCCACTGACTGCCTCTGTAGGATTTTGCCTAAGCACTCAGGGTGCTATTGGCAATGCTACCCTTACACTAGTAGACTCAGAGACCTTTAAATGGAACAGCTGCATTAACCCTGACATCAGAAGTTGGCATCTATTTGCATTAAAGTGGGAGCTCATGCTCAAAATACAGCCAACGCCTTAAGGAATGTTAAAGCCAAAGTTGCGGAAAAATTATACCAACTGTTTTGTGCGGAAATACCGCTAAGCCTTTCTCTCCTCTTTCAGTTGGTCAGTATTGGTTCTTCCTATAACTATGGAAATGAAGATCAGGCTGAATTTCTGTGTGTTGTCTCGAAGGAGCTACATAATACCCCCTACGGCACAACCAGCGAGCCCAGTGAAAAAGCAAAGGTAAGATGCTGGGCATGGGAGGGAGGAAATGAAAGATGTTAGTCAAAGCAATTAGACTTGGATATTATTCAAAAGAAGGTTGAGCATAGCGTGTAATCTGCTTGCCATCTCTCCTCAAGGTCGGTAATGGTTCCCTTTTCGTTGTGCATGAGAATATAAACTGTACCAGTTAAAGTAACTCTAATTGTCAGTATGACTCTCACACATTACAAAACAAGAACTTTAAATGTGCTACTTAGTATTCTCCGTGTCTTCCATACTGTTATCTGACTTCTTAGTGAGTGCTTCCTTTTGAGAATATGCATATTTGGGTTATCAGACAGTAGATAGACTTTGATTCTGCCACCAGTGTAGATGATGGATGTTTTCCGTGCTTATCTGAGTCAGGATACAGAATTCTCAACAGCCAGGAATGTGAATGACATATTCTGTCTGAAAAGTATTGTCATATGCAATAAGCTATAAAAGTCTTCCCATTAGATTAAGTCCCTTACTTGCAATGTATTGTGCAAGCTCGCAGCTTTCAGGGTTCCTTGTAATTCTTGCTCTTCTGCATGACCTAATTGACAGAGACGTTATAGGCATGAGATCTTGCTTGTGTGATCTGTTTACTTTTAGGGATAATAGTTAGGGAAGACAGTGTGTGACATGACTGAATCATAGTTGGCCCTGACCAAATGGAAAATGAATTGCACTGTTCCTCCACTCAGCGTGCACTGTACATTTTACACTATGGTTGGTGGGGAAATGGAAACACTAATAATTGGTTAGTAGTAAAACTAGTCATCTTTATACAAAAAGGTTTACCACTCATTTATCATTTTTATTGGTTTAAATTGAAAACAACCAAAGTAAAACTTAGCACAGCTTTTCAAGAGTCAGCTTTAAAAAATAAACACTGAAAAAAGCCCCTTAAGACTGATCTGGAACTTCCAATGTCAATTGTATCCTGCTCACGTTGTTTACAGTAAACTACTGTCTGCTGCTGGTTACTACTGCTTTTCATGCTGTCCACAACTCATTTCTTGGTTGGGCACAGCAGCAGTTTGGAAAGCAGCATTTTTGTGTATGGATACCCACAGTAGGTACGTAAGGTACAAGTAATCAGACTTATTTCATAAAGCTTTAGAGTATTTTAAAACTTTTTTTGTTTCATCGCTAGTGAAATGGCTAATTTCTGCTGAAATGTATTTTATCGCAATTCAGAGAATCATATTTTAAACCCTATAAGAAGTTAATGCAGCCAAAAATAAAAAGTGAACATGTAAAACTATAAAATCCTACATATGGATCACTGTTCCTGAACGCATGTGTAAGCCCACTGCCCTCCCCTCTTCAAAACTCACTTTTGCCATGCTGCCTGAAAGAAATGGAAAAGCTGATAAGTTATATGTTGGTGTGGTATTTAAGCAATAAGTGTGTGTGTGGTATCTAAGCAGTGTGTGTGTATTTTAATTGCATCCTTATCCCTCATTGTACATCATTTGCTTGTTGTCTTAGTTTGTAAGCTCCTCAGGGCTGGGATATGTGCACCACCAAGATAAAAATAATAAAGCAAAAACTGGAATTACTGACCATAATGCATATCTTTACAAGGGACTTCAGTGACCCTTCTGCAATAACATGCTTCAGAAGGGCCCAGAGTTTGACTGGATACTAGGCTAATAGAAAATGTGTAGAATACCAAACCAAACAGTGTGGGCGTCTAAAGAGGAGGGACTAGTCCAGAACAAGTACAGTGCAACTCTTGGTTATTCAGACATTTGAGAGATGCCAGCATTTATACTCTCTGCAGTGAAATTCACAGGCTTGGTAGAGGGACTCTGAAGAACGCTGCTGTGTCTCAAATGCTCACCCGGAGTCTTGATGCACAGAAGGGAGTTGTGTACTAGAAAGAATGAGCACAGTGGGAAGTAGCATGAGATTAGAACAGTAAGAGTTAGTTAAAAACCAAGAACAAGTATAGTCCTGTTGCGTGGCTGAAAATGCACAGTTGGAAGCTCTCTCTGATGTCAAGTAAAGTCATTTTAAAAGGAAAGTGAGTGAAAGAATCCCCAGAAATTAACAGAGTTTTGTTCCACTGTGCATTGGCCAGTGGAGGTTTGGGATGGGAGAGTTGTCTTTACCAGACTTGAGCTAACCTCAAAATGCAGGTATAAGGCCTGGTCTACACTTGGGGGGGGGAGATCGATCTAAGTTACGCAGCTTCAGCTACGTAAATAACATAGCTGAAGTCGACGTACTTAGATCTACTTACCACGGTGTCGTCACTGCAGTAAGTCGATGGCTGACGCTCTCCCGTCAACTCTGCCTGCGCCTCTCGCCCTGGTGGAGTACCAGAGTCGAGGGAGAGTGCTTGGTCGTCTATTTATCACGTCTAGACTAAATGCGATAAATCAACCCCCGCTGGATCGATCGCTGCCCATTGATCCAGCGGGCAATGTAGACAAGCCCTTAGTTTTGGGAGAGGATTTATTCGAATCATAACTACATAAACTTGCCTGTTGGTGCAACTGTTGGAGAGGGATGTTCTAAACTAAAGAGCATGTCAGAAAAGAGGATGTGAGTAGTGGGGTAGGGACTGTGGACAGGTGCAACAGGAGAGATTTTTGAAGTTTCCATTTAATATACATACTGTTAACAGAGTATTGGGGACGTGAGGGTTGTGGGTTGTTGTTTTTTTAATCCTTTTGGGTTGAAAAGTACTTGAATGTTGAGTCAGAACTGTTTCTTGGGGTCTGTCCTCTCGACAGATGGATTTTTCAAGCCAGTTTAGCCTCAAATCCATAATCTGCTAAACTGTGTCTGATTTAACCTTCAACATCTTGTTGTTCCATTGAAACGATAATGAAGGTCACCCAGAATTACATATTGACAAATATTTAGGTGGCTCTGATCCATGCTGCTGTGAAGGGGAAAGCACAAGAATCGTTGTCATGACATCTTAAAAAAAAAACAAAAAAACTTCTATCAGTACAGTTATGTAAGGGCCATTGTATTTAATTCTGCATTACCCACCAGATTACCAGAATCTTTATTAATAGTGGGGGTTTACAAACCAGAAAAAAACATGTGTTGGGAGCAGCCCCAGCTGATCTGACTTTTCCAGTTTTTCTTTCTTTTCTGGTGGGTTTTTTTATCTAGTATCCTCTTCATGGAGGACGCAATTTGCCTAAATAGGATAGAACAAGAAACAATAGCAACTAAAACTTGAAAGTAGTTTTTCCAAAGGTACTAAAATCTTCCCCAGTGACAGGTATTCTACATTATTGACTTTCTCCAAAAGGGACATGCTAGTAATACTGAGCTATGGCAGTAAAGTTTGATAAATGAAGATTTTGCTGCCATGTATCACAGCTGTAAAATAGCATAAAATGTGCTCCTCTATGAGCCAGCATTACACAGTGATAAGTATATAGACTGACTCTTGAATCTCACACTATGAGATATTTCCCATGAAGTGAACTTAGCATATACCCTGCTTTGTAATTATTTCCTACTTTGGAAGAAACAACTCTGAGCATTCTGAAAGGCCATCTGTTTCAGAACACCCCTCAAATGCAACTAACCTATCACCCCTGTGTTTGCAAAGTCCATACAGGAACCTTCCCAAAATAAGGCCTACAATGAATGTACATAGCCCAGGACTTGGACTACATCTTGAGGAATTAGTAAGGAAAACAGCCTTACCTTAGGCTTCCAAGGGCTGTGGGCATGAGTGTTACGTAAAGTATTTAGATTCCTTTCTGAACAGTTCATTCATTTTTTGCCATTTCGTTGCTGATTTGGATTTCTGTTCAAGCTCATTTCCATTCTGGCTTCTGTAGATTCTAATTGTAGTTTACTAAACTCTTCAACTTTTGTTTTAAATAAAACTTAAAATGGGCTAAGTTCAGTAGAACAATAACAGTCACAACCTGAAGAAGAGCTCTGTGTAAACTCGGAAGCTTATCTCTCTCACCAACAGAAGTAGGTCCATTAAAGATATTACCACACCCATCTTGTCTCTCTAGTATCCTGGGACGAACATAGCTACATCACCACTGCATAGGCACAACCTAAACAGTATACCTACCAGCTTGCCCAAAAGTTGGATGTCTTGTGGCATTTGAGGAAGCAATGCCACTCAGCCATTGCCTTTCCCTGAGTCCTATTATTGATAGCTGGAATGGATGTGTAACTTTCTAATGTAGCTGGGAGGAGTAAACTAACCCCTTTGAGCCAAATTACTTAAGCTATTTCAATGGTGCTTGTGGGGCAGCTTGTGATTCTCTGAGCTCTCCATTCCCAAATCCACTTGGTTTCCCTGCCCACTTCCTTGAGTTGCTGTATTAGGAGGGGATGACCCAATGTTCCTCCTGATGTCTGCCTCCAAAGCTAAGTTTCCGAGTGTTAAGAGTCCACAGACACATGGAGCCAGTTGCAGAGCTCACAAGTTTCAGGTAGCATATGTAACATTAGCTGTCTCATTACACAGTGTTCCCTTTCATTGTGTCAAGTGAATGCTGAACTGAATGGAACCATTAGCAGTAATCTGCTGATACTTGGGACAGTGGGGAAAACTAGTTTTCCTGCTATTTATAATGTTCCCTGCTTTTAAATTGTGTGGTATCTTATTGCCTTATGAAGAATTGGATTAAAGTAAAATAACCTCACATACCTCAAGTGTAAGTGGATTGTACTTTGCTTTGGCTCTGACTCACTTTCAATCTTTTCTTTTCCCTCCCTTTCTTTACACTTGCTGCATGCCATTCAGAGCGAGGATGAAGAGACGGATTACGATATGAATGACTCAGATTAAGTGTAAATGTCATGGTGAGCATTAGCTGCCCTAGGACTTCACCCACATGCTTTCCTCTGCCCCATCTGCCACCTACCCCTCACCAGTACCATCTTCTGGCTAGTCCTAGTGGTGTATTTGTTCTGTAGTCATAGTTACCTTTATTCCTAGTGTCAGGTGAAAATCACAGTGGTAGAAATGGTAATAGACTTTATAGTATGATCTGTTGCACAGATGATGATGACATGACAAGACCTGTACTGGCTCTTGTGCTTTTTTACATAAGTAACGCTGGCATTATCAGTCCTTTTAAAGCTATGCTGGGAGAGGGGAAATTCTTTATACAGATTCTAGGGGAAAATATTTTTAGACAGAAATGGTTCTATTTTTTTGTTGTTGTTACATGGCCTGTTTTTTCTCTTGTCATATATTTTGTGTATAATGGCAGCTAATAAAAATCTTCAGTAAATGTCTGATTTGGCAACCTATTAAGAGGCTTGTCCATCTGAAGTATGTTAGCCAAGGATGGTCCTATTAAAGCACAATATAGGGAGTCCGCAGGTCTGCATTCTTTTCTCCACTCTGCCTCAGTCCCTCTGTATGAATATAGACAAGTCACTTAACTTCTGTGCTCCAGTTTCCACAGGTCTAAAATGGAAAAAACCTCACTGGGGAGAGGCCAAGTCCTAATTTACTGAGTGTAAAGTGCTTTGAGGTCCCTAAATGGACAGTGCAACTGAAATTCAAATTATTATGATGAATTACCAAGAAGTGGCCTTACAATGCTTGAAGCAGTGCATGGAGAATAAGTTTTTGTTGACAATCATTTCTATTTTAAGTCTGCTGTTGCTTATATCTGTTACTTACTGCTCATCAGGACTCCTCAATACTGCAAAGCCCAGGTGAAATCACTGGAATCTGGTGGTATTCAGCATCTTATGGGATCATACTCCAAATCCTTTCTTACCTGTACCTTTGGAAAGGCAGCTTTTTTACAAGCAACTTCAGTGCTGCTTGCATATGGGTTAAAAAAGATACATTTATCTTGCAGTAATAAAATGTTTGAAAAGCATGCATGGGGAAGGTTGCCTACTTTTGCAAAATCTAAGCTTTCATTTTTTTTTAAATTAAATGATTAGTCCTTATGGTCAGTATGAAACTTTCATTTATCACATGAGTATAAACTCAGGGACTCTACAAACAGGCAGCTCAGAGTTTCCCTAAGTGACACAGTGACTACTGACCAGCATCTGTCAGTTCTTACTCCTGTTCAGAATCCTGTGGGCAGCAATGAAAATAAGAACCAAATATATTTTACTACCCAGCCATGGTTAGGGACAGGAGGCATTCATATGTGTCGGCAGCTACTAGCCAGAGGCTAGTATGAAAATAAAGCCACTGAGCAGAGTCCAGGGACAGCATCCCTATCCCAACACCTTCCTCTAGCCCAGGGGTCAGCAACTTTTCAGAAGTGGTGTGCCAGGTCTTCATTTATTCACTCTCTAATTTTAAGGTTTTGCGTGCCAGTAATACATTTTAATGTTTTTAGAAGGTCTCTTTCTATAAGTCTATAATATATAACTAAATTATTGTTGTATGTAAAGTATATAAGGTTTTTAAAATGTTTAAGAAATTTCATTAAAAATTAAATTAAAATGCAGAGCCCCCCGGACCGGTGGCCAGGACTTGGGCAGTGTGAGTACCACTTAAAATCAGCTCACATGCCGCAGGTTGCCTACCCCTGCTCTAGTCAAACAGATTGGCATGGGAGAAGCAGTTGCTTTCTCACCAGGTTGTTGCCCTGGACCGTTCCGCCTATATCCCCCGCCCGTTATCTCGTATAGGTCTGTGGAATTAATTCTGTAGGTAATGGCCATCTTGTAAAATTTCAATACCATTTTTGTGAGGGGGTATGGGATGTGGTCAAGCAAATGAATGACATAGGGAAAGAGTGTGAGATTGATGGGATAAGCTAGGAAAGAGAATTACAGGGTGTGCATATAAAATATGAGAGAGAAACAGATTTGTGGGGTATATGGAAGAAAAGAAACCAAAATGTTCAGGGCAGGAGGTAGAGCTCACAGTGAAGAGAAAGAGAGGTTAGGAGATGGAGAATGAGAGAAGGTAAAGAGGAAACACTTTGAAAATGACTTGAGAAACATCACCATGATCTGTTACAGAAAAGAGAAAGTAAAGTGAAGCCACGTAGGAAAATGCCTAACCAAAAGCAAGAAAAGGGTTGGGGAGTATGCATGTGCTGTTGACTGTGATCCGCTTTACACAGAATTAAATGTTGTGCTAAAGTTACAAGTGACATGCAACTCACTCACTCCTATTATCTCCCTGTGGCACATCATAATAGCTTCGTTTCCTGTGGGATGTGATACTTAAGTCTGGGTTTGAGTTTAGCGTGCAGGAGCTAGGTGCTGTCAGTGGTCTGACTAGATTATCTGGTTATCCCTTCTTCCCTGAACTCTAGGAGTCTACAGGTGCAAGCTAAAGCAAGATGAGCCATGTTGAATCTGATATGAGTGTCTGCATATGCTGGTTTAACTAAATGTGTGATGTTAAACTCAATTAGTTAATCAGTTCAGCATCACATCTTTAAGTGAATTGGTATAACTTCTTTGTGTAGCCTGTAGCTCACAAAAGCTTATGCTCTAATAAATTTGTTAGTTTCTAAGGTGCCATAAATACTCCTTTTCTTTTTACGGATACAGACTAACACGGCTGCTACTCTGTAACCCACTGGAGTTCATCAACTAACTTATTCAACTGATAGTTTTCTTTGTGGTATTCAGTCATGCTGGTCACATTCTGCTTGGTGACTATCATATGGTGGAATGTATTGAATAACATAGCCAATGTCTTTTTCCTGCCAGTTGACCAGCCCTAGTAGTAAGATGTGTGCTTTTAAAGTTTGATAGTTAACTGGATTGTATTCTGCTTGGGGTAGGGAGTGCCCTCTTCTGTGTTTTGGAAAACACTATACACGGGTGCTGTTGCAATATATATAATAAATGTTGGTGGATAATATTACAATTACAGTACCTAACTGTTCCTCTAACTTTAAGTTGCAGGGGGCACAGTAGCATGTATTTTTCACCATGGCAAATCTCTTTACTTGCAGTTGTCAAGTAAATTTTCAAGGCCTGACTTTTACTCACTGAAATCACTTGTGTTTGCCATGCAGTTTCTTATAGAATACTTTTAATTAACTAGAAGCACAGGTGATAAATTTTCTTAATGCTGAAATATGTAGCATTTGCTTTTGATACATAATTTGAAACTTTTCATACTCCATCTAGAAACCTTTCATAGGAACTTCGTAGCAATACAAGTTGTGATCTCATCTGCTCTCAAACCTAAGCAGGAACAGTATACAGTGTGAATAGGAACCCTCCAACCACAAAGTAAAATCCAGGTGCTGCAGGAAGTACTGTTGGTGAGTCAATAGATGGCACTTTTCCCTCCAAGATATGTCTACACTGCATTTAGATACCTGCAGCTGATGTGGGCTAAGGGGCTGTTTAATTGTGATGTAGACATTCGGGCTCCTAGCAGAGTCCTAGAGCCTGGGCTCCAGCCCAAACGGCTACATCGCAGTTAAACAGCCCCTTAGCCTGAGTCAGCTGGCACAGGCCAGCCATAGGTTTTTAATTGTAGCGTAGACAGACCCTAAGTCATTACGTAACCAAGATCTGCACTGTAGTGCTAGACAGCAGTCTGCTCTGAAGTTACCTTTTTTAGGAGAAATCATACAACTGAGGGGTCTCACTAATTGTAATCCTTGAAGATCCTAAAGCATTATATATATCAGGAAAGACTATCCTAATTGGCTGTAATTGATGTGAAAGGCTTATCCACTGTTGGCCGATTTTGAAACTAGAAAAGTTAGTTACTTGCCATATGAAATTCAACTGTAAGTTTAAATGTCAAGTTTTTTGGTGTATTCATTAAAATGGAGCTTCTGTGCCCTATTAAGTAGCTGCCATGTTCCTCCCTGCAAGTACGGAGGGACAGGTGTATTTGTATGTGTATTGTAAAGGCCTGTGAAATCCTTTGGGAGGGAAGGTGCTACTCGGTAATCAGTGTAAGATGTTCATGGTTTTAACATTCTGTTCCACTGCAAGTACCAGAGAAGGAAATTCTGCATGACACCAGTGGCTGCCTCTGCCAGGGAATGTGCCTGGCCTGTCATATACCTTCTCCTCGTGGTTGGATCAGAAAGCCTTTTCAGCACCATGAAGGCAGCCACATGCCAGTGCTCTGTACTTGTCGCTGGCATATTCAAAGCTTTGCTTAGTTTGTCTGACTACTATCAAGACTTGCTCCTTAGTTTATTTGTAGGCTTCCCTGTGGTGCTAATCACCATCATAACTGAGCTGCTCATTACTAGTCACCTGTTACATGAAAAAACTGAGGCTAGTAATGTGAGATGCTAATCTAAGGTGCTTGGATACCATCATGCAAGAATTTAGAGCCCATACTATGGGGTTGAGATGAAGCGGGTGGTGACAGGAAAGCCAAAACCACCAGAGGGAGCAGAGGAAAAGTGGTGAGCAGATGCCAAGAAGAGACCCTGGATACTTCAGAGGCAAATACTTAAACTCAATTATCTTCAGAAAATATTTTAAAGTCCCAATTTTCAGAATGTGATTTCTGCAGTGAATATTGTAGCAAACGGGCTGTTCTTGGCAAAATGAGTACATCCTCTTCCCCCACGCCAGGAGAGGCTCTGCTCACTCTTCACTGCAGGAGAGTGGAATCCTTCAAACAGGATTTCTGTCTTTTGAGATGCGTGCTACAAAATGGTAGCGTTTTAATGTGAATTTAGGGTTTGTGTGCACAAGTTTGGGCCACTTTATGTGGGTTATAGGCTGGTTTTTGAATGGTGTCTTAAGGGCAGAGGAGGTCTCCAATTCAGTGTAGTCTCCTCTTACAAACCTAAGGTCGCACAACTGCAGTGGGGTGGGCAACATTAATCCTGTCAAAGTGTGATTCTTAACATCTCCTCTCTATCCCCTGAATTAAACTCACTTCTCATAAAACGTAACCAATATGCTTCAAAAACCATTGTATCTCTTAATTGTCCGTCTTCCGCTTCACAAAGCATAACAGTGTTGGGCAAGATAGTACTTGGAAAAGTGAACTCCACAAAGTGTCCCATCCCACCAAAAGAAAGGTTTGCATATGAACTGTGACTCTTCACGTATGCAAGAGAAATTGTGCAAGGCAATATATTGCATGAAATTCTATTAAATACTATTGATCAAACATGAAGATATATGTAAAACATTAACTTAATACATCAAGCTAATAGCTTTCACGTATTAGTAGCCTAACAAATAGTCCCATCGGGTCAAGAATCTGGCTGTTTGTATTTACCATATAACGAATACTGAGGACTGCTTTAGGAGGTCAGGGCAGATACTGTAGGGTTAATGGATCAGCCTACTCTGTATAGGAGTTGATCTGGCCCATGTAAGCTTTTATACTCCTGACTTTCAAACGCTGCTTGTTTTTTCAGACTATAATTGTGTCCCTGCCAAGGTTTCGTTGGCACATCTTGTTGCTACTTATGCACATTTCATTGCTACTCTAAGTGACACAGGTCATAAATAAAACAAGGGAGAGCACAGGAGATGTTACTAAAGCAAGTACAATTTAAAAAATCCCAAGTTTGAAAAAGGCAATTGTTCTCCATTTTCCCTGGTAACCCACAAACTACACAGCCTTGCTTCTAGGATCAGAGAAACTGGCCTAGCCCTACTATCCTTGCAGCTCTCTCTACCGTCTTGTGACTTTTAGGAACTCTGTGTTTGCTCTGTGTGCTGTGAACTTCATCGATGACCAATTGTGCTCATTTGTCTGATTGATCTCTACTTTTACTGCCCCCTTACAATATTAAATGCTCTATCTTTCCTCTTATTAGTCTGACTCAAATACACTAATGGTGATCTATTGTACAGGTGTGTTAATGATAGTTCGTAAGTGACGTATAGCCTATTCTCTGTTTTTCTATATTAAGGCATCAGTTTCAGGAAAGTCCTTAAGCCAGCCATTTGGGCTTTATCACATGGTTGAAATACAGTGATTTCTTTTTGCTCTCCCCCGCCCGCCCCCCGGCTTTGGGTCTGATATTGGGAAATTTTAATGTGTGTAATTTTTAACTGTCTCTTTCAGATTTTGCAAGAGCGAGGTTCCAGGATGTGAAGAACATATTGAGCACTGAAGAATATTTCTTTTATTCCAAGATGCAGTGAATTGTCACATTGAAGAGGCTTAGCTGTGAGAGGAAGAAATCTGCTTTAGAAAATTTTCTATTGATCTGGGTTGAACCATTTTTGCCTATAAGCTGGTATAGACTGAATTTGCTGGCTGAAAACATCACAAGATTATTGAATGGGAATAGATGATGTGAGAGAGTGTGTTAATCTTGGTTCTAGTGCACGATTGTAGTCTCTCATGGGCTGAATTATATTGGTCACATAGAAAGAAACAATCATACACTCATATTTTCCTCTGAGACATGTAGCACTTACACCTGGTGCTGGATGATCCAATGTTGATCAGTTTGAAATGATTTTGGTATTAATAATTGCAAACAGTTAAAGGACACTGTATTTGGTGCTACATATATATTACAGCCCATAAATGCAAATATTTGGGCCTACGTAGTTGGTTTTTGAATCAATGACAGCCCCAGTTTACTGTCTTATACTGCACATTCCTTATGGCTCAGTGACACATTTTCTATTAGGTAAGAATGGTGTAGGAGATGAAGTGAAACTACCTTGTAAAAAGTTACACCCCAGACAAAAGATTCCCATAAAGAATGGGTGTAAAATACTGACTGGGTTGATGGCTTATTTTAATAGTCAAAGGGAATACTAAACTTGGAGAAAATGTCTTTTTGTCTGAGTCATCTCTGATGTTTCTCCTGTCAAAATAACTTCCTCCTGCAGAAGATAAGCTCCAGTCTTAGCCAAATGTTTGAAAGGAAAATCAAAATTTCTTAAATTGTCACAACTGAACATCTTGTCTCTTTTGAAATGTTTGTTGCTAACCAAATGTTTAGTTGTACATTTTAGAAATGCCTACAAGTGTCAAGCTCCTCTTGGATTTTGTTGGGTATTTTTAAGAGCTGGAGTTTGTGAAGCTACATGGCTGGATAGTGTTAGATTCTGATCTCAGTGAATGGGTTTAAAGTTACCCTAAGAGCGAACACAAGCTCACCCAATTAAAAATCTGAATTAATTGCTTTGAATTTTCAGGATGTTTACAGTCCATCTCTCTACATTGTTTCAACTATGCAGTTCTTTATGATGATTATAAGAATGCTGCCTGAAAACATTTTCACACAGCTGTATTAGGACAGGCCTGTGGTAAATGTTAACACAAGACTGGAGCTTTTTAGTGCATTGTGTTTTAAACAAAACCAGTAGCATGACTTTTTTTGAAACAGATGTAACTAAATTGATTGCGTAAAACTCTCAATTCTTGCAGCTTCATTGGCTTGCGTAGCTCTAGGTGGAGCAGTGGATGGGAGTTTAAACAGGATTATCCAAGATGGTCTGGAATTCTAAAAGCCTTTTAAACTGTTTCATTAAATAACTTGAGAATTTTTGCATATACCATATCCTCTACCAGTAAAATGTGTAATCCTCCACATGAAAACCAGTTTCTCAAGCATCTTGGGTCTATCTATATTTTTTAAGACTTATTGTACAATGATAAGTTTGGCATAAACAGTTTGTAAAACCATTTCTACAAAGCAGGTTATGCAGTGGGCTAAACGTTTTGTCCGTGCATCTACTGCTTGACAGGGTTTGTAAAGCATTTTGCCATTTGGATGCGGTCTGCTGGCCCCTCCACAATACCACGTTAATATGTTTGTCTTTTTTTAAGATGTTAGGACCTAACTGAATTTACTAAAATGTAATTATTCTGTAGGGAAAAATGTTTATACTTTTATACTTTTTTTTTTTAGGCATCCATATTTTATCAGCCTGAAGTTAATGCCTAAATTTCCTCTAAATAGTAACAGATAATCTTGTGTATCTAAAGATAAGCATAGCGGTTGTTTGTCTTAAAATGCATACCATAGCATTTCCTCTGCTGAAAAAGTCACTGTGTTTAAGCAGCTTGACATGACCCATGTTCTTCAGGTTCCGGGGCTCATGGAATTGTGGCCTTTAAGGCTTCCTATTTTCCTGCTGTGCTCTACAGAGTAAATTCAGCATTGGATTAAATGGCTTTTAATGCCTTATAATTATTAAAAATGTATATTGATATCATTCCAAAATCTGCATTTTTGTGTGTTGTCTTCTGTTGTTAAAAGAAGGCAGAAGACTGGATTTTCATAAACTACCTGAGATCCTTAAGGATTGCAGAAGCAAAACATGAGTAAGAAACTGAGCAAATTGAAACAACTTGGAGGATATATATGAAAAGGGCCACTTTTAGAGAGTGGCATTTTCACTGGAATACTTTATGGTTTAATAAATTTGCTTTTTATTTTTTTTGATGGGATTATCTGCACCCTGGTTTACATTGTCCCTTGTAGTAGCAAAAATGATTTTGGGGAAATGTTTGAATCATTAACATTTTGCACTTTCTCTGTCTCATACCTCACAGAGCTATTGTCTCTCACTTCAGCAAAAAAAATTATAAATTATTAGGCTAATATCTGGTAAATGATTTTGCAAGCTGCTGTAACAGACTTTGTCAACTAATCTTCTGTTCTTGCTGTTACCCTTATTAATTTCATATTTCTTTAACATCTGAGACATTCACTTAGGTGCATGTACAGTAGAACCTCAGAGTTAAGAAAACCTTGGGAATGGAGGTTGTTCATAACTCTGAAATGTTCGTAACTCTGAACAAAACATAATGGTTGTTCTTTCAAAAGTTTACAACTGAACATTGACTTAATACGGCTTTGAAACTTTACTATGCAGAAGAAAAATGCTATTTTCAACCATCTTAATTTAAATTAAACAAGCACAGAGACAGTTTCTTTACGTTGTCAAATCTTTTTTTTAAACCTTCCCTTTATTTTTTTTAATAGTTTACATTTAACACAGTACTGTACTGTCTTGTTTTTGCTTTGTTTTTTGTCTCTGCTGTTGCCTTTGCCTGATTGCATGCTTCCGGTTCCAAATGAGGAGCGTGGTTGACTGATCAGTTTGTAACTCTGGTATTCATAGCTCTGAGGTTCTACTGTACTATCGAATTCTTTTCCTAAAGCCCCAGGAGTTTCCCTCTACTAAAATTTGGTTTCTTTTTGTATTGAAATCTGGTAACTTAGAATAAGGTTAGCTACACTAGCAAGAGGTAGACAGGATGGTCAGGTCAGACTCTTTGAATTAGTAAGCTACTTTATCAATTGATGAAAACAGTATTACAGCCTAAGATTTTAAATCATAAGCATGGGTAGGTTATAGCAGAAGAGAATGAGGGTACGCTAGATCAAGGCAGACAAACAATTAAAGTGGCTTTTCATACAAGAGATAATTTGTCTGTCTTGAGTCTGTTAATTACAGTCTTGTGAAACAGTCTGGTGTTTGGGGGCATAGCTTCCTGAGGAGTGGGGGAGAATGTTAGTACGGTTGTGTATTCACTAGCGACGTTAAAGCGCTTCCACGGTAGTGCAACAGCACCAGTTGCACTGTGTAGTTGCAGCACCAGTGAGGGGAGTAGCCCCCAGCGCTGGTGCGCGGTCTACACTGCCACTTTACAGCACTCGGGAGGTGTTTTTTCAAACCCCTGAGCGAGAAAGTTGGAACGCTGTAAAATGGCAGTGTAGACAAGGCCTATGAGATGGGCCTTTTCCTGCAAGTAGAAACCCATCAAAAGAGCCAGCAGTTTGGGTGGCATTCATGGAGGGTGGGGTGGAGAGAATCTCTTTGAATTTCATTTGCACCTATTTGATTTACTCCCTCCATATCACAAACCTTCCCCTTCCCAGGAGATGTGAATGCAGCTCTTTCAAATTACTGCTGTTCTTCAGTCCGCCCTTGCATCTGGGGTCTTAGGAAAGAGGGTTTCTTTTCTTGAGCAGCATCCCTGTTGGCTCAGCAACCTGGGACTAGAACTGCTGATGAGCAGCAGCTGAAAGTGTCCAATTGCTTAGCAGAAAGCGATTTTGAAATATGTAAGTCCCTAAGTTGCTCCGTTTGTTTTTGTGTATTTTAATTTGCATCTGTTTCCTGTTTTAGGGACCATCTCAGGATCCCAGTTAGATCTATGTGTGTAAAATAGGGGACTCAGGAACAGAGTGAATCCCATCAGTATTCACTTAAATGTGCAGGAGACTCTTCAAACTCCCTTCGAAGGTAACTGGTAGTATCTTGTGGCTCACCGCAAAAGGCAACTGTCTTTAAAGGCTTATTGCCAAATAGACACTTTAAAGGGCTAAATCTTCCACGCTTTATTGTTCAGTTTGCCTAAGGTAACTATCCCAGACAGAAAATATGTCTGAATTCAAAGCATTGAGAATTCCAAGGGCTAATACCTCCCAGGGCTAATTTGAAGTTCCAGATAAACATGCATAAATATTTTTAAAGACCAGCTATTGCATTTTTCTTACATCTTACAAACTCTGAACATCCATATTAGAAACATTATGAGCCAATCACAAATAGCAGATCTTTGATTTTTGTTACACTCCAGCCTCCATCTGGGTAGGACTGCAAGTGCAGAAGACAGCACAATCATCTGTCACTCTCTTGTGTAAATATTGAAACCTAACAGCTTCTGTTAATAGAACTGGGAATAAGGAGACTTTGGGAACGTTCTCCTTCCTCAGGAAATAGTCATAGGTTATTCCATTGCAAATTAGCTTCCCTTTACTTTAGCTAAGTCTAACAAGGAATACACTCTTGTAAAACTCAGCTAGTAACACTGTTGCAAATGCAGCTGTCAATGAATATTCAAAGGGCTCTTATTAGGATATTAGTGATAGTTACATTGACTGCCATGGAGAGAGAGAAATCTACATTATAGTGTAGAAAGCTACCTTATTACTTCTGGGTGATGTCACGCTTTTACTGTAACACTTCTGTAGACAGTGCTCTCCCTCAGAAGTTAAAGGACTAAAGGCTATTGATCTTAAATTTTGACCCACCTTAACAATGGTCTCATCTCCAAGGCTTGGTCTTCTGGAATCTAGTGGCTGATGTATTTGTGTGCCTGGCTCATGCTCCATTTGCAGATTTTTTTTTTTTTTCCAAAATCTTATGCTCAGTTAACCTAAAGTAAACTTGGCCCACGTGTGTTTGCCAGGAAAGAGCAAGTGCCTATGCACTATAGGCCAAATAGTGCCAACCTGACTACTAGGAACTGAATCAAGACCACAGAACCATTTTCTTTATCACTGAACAGATATCAGAGGGCAACTACTTTCAGCCACTGCTGACTTGAGCCCGATTTGAACCTGGGTTTGAAAATCTTCATTTCCAATGGGCTGTCCAGGTCTCCTTTACCCAATTCACCAGTTTTATTGGTGGTCTGACAGTAAGTTGTGCATCAGCTGTTTGTGTTAGGGCCCAGGAGGACATACTTGCAATGTTTTATTTCCTGGATAGTGGATTAGCAATAACAGTTTCCTTTTGTGCCAGTTCATTATCTCTGAAGTGTTCTTATTGCAGCAAAGTTTGAATTCTGACATGGCTTTAATGCTTTTGCATGAGCCAAGATGATTAGCATAGAAATTGACATGGAGCTGAATCCAGAAAGTTCCCTGGATAAACCTCTAGTAGGGCTTCCCAACTTGTTTTAAGGTAGATGCAGTTACCCATAATTTTTAGATCAAATATACAACTAAAACATGAATGGGTATTTTTAACCTCCTTTTCGTAACACTAGTTTATTGTAAAATGCATGAAATAAACCTGTTTTTCCCTTTTAAGATATTGTCTGATGTTTGAAATCTTTTTCCCAAACCCCTGTGACTGCTGACAGTTTTTGTGTATCATAGCTAATAAGCCCAGAGTTTAATACTACTGACCCAGTTTTCTATGCTTTCTACACTGCCTTGAAAATTCTTGGTCACTAAAGGCTACCAATACACTTTTAGTAGTCATTGGGGACATAAGAAACTCACGTTTTATTCACTGTCAGATTAAAAAATGCTTGCTGCTAACTGGTATAGTGGGTATAATCTTCTCCTCTAATGTGTGTACTATCGGAAAGTGCTCGACCGTATACCAAGACGGGGGTAAAGTGGGAGGGTGAACACAGTCCAAGATCCAAAAAGGGATGGAGCTGTTGCACCAGGGATGTCACTGCCTAATTTTTAGGTGCTTGGAAAAACCCTGCAATCCACAAGGCTTAGTTAGGTGCCCTAGGCTCCTATACAATGAATGGGGAGAGATAAGCACCTTAGAATGTAATCCACGGAAGCCAGCATCCTAGGTGGGAACCACCTAAAATAGCCAATGGGAGAGGCTGACAGGAGGGGTGTGTGCAGAGCCCTACCCCTGGAGATCGGTGCCTCAATCCAGGTTGCAGGGAGGGGGCCTAGCTCTCCTCAGCAATCCTCAAATGGGAACCACACATCTGATGTCAGGCAGTGGCGTAGCCAGGTGGAAAAAACAGGGGGAGCAGAGATTAAAAAAGGCACCTCCCGCTATACTCACCTGGCAGCGCTCCGGGTCTTCGGCGGCAGGTCAGGCGGCTGCCCCACTCCCCCCAGCTTCGCTACTGATGTCAGGGAGACGAAGCACCCAAGGAGTCTCTGGTGGGAATTGTTAGACTCCTTCCTTGCTTAGAGGAGGAAGTGCTGCTGCCGCCACCCTCACCACTTTGGCCAGTGGTTAGACGCTTGTTTGGGCGTGACAGACCCAGACTCCACGCTTCCCTCTGCCGGGGGCAGGGGAGAGCAGAGAGGGTTTGCACAGGGGTCTCCCATCCCTCCGGAGAGTGCGCTAACCACTGAGCTATGGAATAATCTGATGTGGACTCCCTCAGTTTCTCCTCTTGAAGCTGTTTCATTCTAGAGAAATAATGAAAGAGGGACTGAAGCAAGGAGACTGGACCCAGGGTGTCTCACTTCCTGTGACATTTTAGGGATCAGTGAGACTAATACGGGGTTCTCACACTGCCTGCCGTATAACTTCGGGTGCCTTAATGCTATGCTGCTATGAGCCTTACCACCAGTAGCCAGCCTGTGAGCATAAAGGTCTCACCCTGGTTTCCTCCAGCCTAGTTACTCCTTACTCTGGCCCCGAGTCACCCCAAATCCATCTACCCTGAGCTCTTTACTACCAGACACTCTGACAGTTCTCCTTGCCTTTGAGACTGTCCCTCAGCTCTGGACAGCATTCACTTAAACCCCTTTCCTTGTAACAGGGATATGGTGCAGAGTGGTGATTTGTGGTGGGGAAAATTCTCTCCTTTCAAGACTGGAGTTTTTCTTTTCAATTTCAGATTGTTTCAGTGGTTTCCCATTAACTTTAATGGCTCATCACTTGTCTTTTCCTAGGTTGTACAATGCTAGGTGCTTGGAGATAATCCATGATGCAACCTATTTCTCTGGTGGAGTGTCCTTGTTTGGTGAATGTGGTTTTGAGTATGTTATGGTGTATATCCTGGACTGTCTCCTCAGAGTACATTCTGTGGAATCTGCATGCCTGGCTGTAGATAACAAATTTCTTGGTATGTTTGGGGTGGTTGCTGGATCTGTGAAAAGAAAAGGAGTACTTGTGGCACCTTTTCCTTTTGCGAACACAGACTAACATGGCTGTTACGCTGGATCTGTGAAGGTAGGTATGGTGATCCAATGGTTTCTTGTATATGTTTGTCTGTAAGGTTCCATTGTTAAAGTTAATCGTAGTGTCCAGGAAGTTGATGCTAATGTGGGAGTGTTCCAGGGAGAAATTAATGGAGGCGGGGGGGGGCGTTGTGGTGGAAATCGATGAGCATTTGAGCTGTCTGTCCAGAGGATGAAAATATCATTGATGTATCTCAAGAATATCACTGGTTTTGTGGTGCATTTGTCCAAAAAATTTTCAAGTTGGCACATAAAGAGGTTGGAATACTGGGGAGCCATCCTAGTAGCCATGGCTATTCCCATGGTTTGGACAAAGTGTTTGTTGTTGAATGTAAAATTGTTATGGGTGAGGATGAAATGGGTGAGTTTGGTAAGTTACAGGTAAGTAACTTCCTCTTGGAACTTGCTGCAGCAAGATGTTAGTAATGTAAATAGCCTTGAATAGGTTTTAATAAAGGATTAGATGTTTAGGAACAAACATTAGTAACGAGCATCTGCAGTGTCACCAACAAGGACAAAATTTTTAAAAGGTCTGTGTTATAGAATATAAATCTGATGCCCTGCTAGTGTGACGGTTCCCCCCGGAGTGCCACCTGGAACTGGGGTACCACTGAGCCCTCTGACCCACCAGCCTGGGCTCCCTCTCTCACTGTGCTGCTGTGACAAGCTGCAGACCTAGTCCTACAGTTCCTCCAGCATTCACACAGGTAGGGGGACACCCAGCTGCAGTTACATGCAGGCACTCTGACCAGCTACTGCATGATCCAACAACAGAGAGGCTACAGCCAAGATAACCACCAGCTCCCCAGGCATGCATCTCCCTCCCAGTGGAGTATAAACCCAAAATTATACCTTCTTGCGCTGCACAGGGAACTGTACAGTGTAAGCTCATAGAGTTCACGCCTCCCTCAGTGTGGAGAGGAAATGCAACAGCCTCTCTGAGCTAAAATTCCCACACACTTCACTCCAAACTCACTGGTTTAGATTAAAACATAAACTAAATTTATTAACTACAAAAGATAGATTTTAAGTGATAGCAAACAGATCAAAGCGGATTACCTAGCAAATAAACAAAAATGCAAACTAAGCTTAACATACTAGAAAGATAGGATTTGAATTAACAATCTCTCACCCTGACAGATGATACAAGCAGGCTGCGGATTCTTAAGGCACAAACTACACTTGCTTTGCGGCTTGGAAGCCCCAGGTTTTTCATACACAGGCTAGAAATACCTTTAGCCTGGGTCCAGCACTTCCCCCAGTTCACTCCTTATTCCTCAGGTGTTTTCAGGAGTCTTCTTTTGTGGGGAGTGAAAAACAAGCAATGACATCACTCCCTGCCTTATATAGCTTTAGCATATGGTGGGAACCCTTTGTCCCAAACTCAGTTTGTGGAAAAACACTGACATCCCAAGATGGAGTCCAGGGTCATGTTGCCTGGTCACATGCCCTTGCATACTTTGCTGAGTCATAGCAGCCATTACTTACAGGCTGTCTGGGTTCACAGGAAGGTTAAGTTCTTCCAGGGTACATTGTCTTTGCTGACGGGGCATCAGCACTGTCTGGCTTCTTCATTGTTGTACCAGAAAGGCTATTTGTGGGTGTCACCCGGAGTAAGCACATTTGAAATAGATACATATTCAATATTCCTAACTTCAGATACAAAAATAATGCATGCATACAAATAGGATAATCATGTTCAGCAAATCATAACTTTTCCAGTGACGCCTCACATGACCCATCTTGTACAAAATGCATCATAATTATGCCATAAGCATATCATTATATAATATCACTGTGAAGAATATGGGGTGCGGTGTCACAGCTAGGAAGAAAGCATCCATCTCAACTTGTAAATATTATTAGCTACATGAGTATGGAGGGTTTACACCTCCTGAAACATCCAACATTGACCATATAATGGAGAAAGGATACTAGACTACATGGGCTTTTGGTCTGGGCTAATACAACAGTTTGTGTGTTCTGAAGATCACAGAGTCAAAAACAAAACAATCCAAACTTCAAGAGGGTTAGGGGGCTTATTCCTTCACCCACTTACTTCCCTGGTCCTTCTCGCATGAACAGAGAGCAACAATACCCGAAGTCCAAAGGTGCAAACAATTCAATGTTTATTGGGGTGAACTTCCAGCAAGCATGATTCCAGTTTCCTTCCTTAGTGTCCCCCTTCCCAGCTCTGACACCACAGAGCCTTACACCTGTGTCCCTGTTCCCATTCCTGCCCTTAGCCAAACATGATTCCAATTTTCCCACCCCCATTCTCTGTTCCCATTTCCCCCTTTAGCAAAACATGATTCCAATTTCCCCATTCCCTGTTCCCATCCCCCCACACACCCACCCACCCACTCACTTCCTGATTGACTGCAGACTATATAGTAAAACTTGAGTTCTGCTTAGCTATACCTTAACCAATCATTTTACTGAAATTTAACTAACCAATTCTAACATATTGTAACATGATTATGTAACCAATTATATTCCACCACCTTAATTAGTTTACACCCAGCAAAATTAATTATACAGCAGACAGGAACAATCACAGAACCAGACAGAGATTATAAAGACAAACAATAGCAAATGGGAACTATAATGACAAAACAATACAAAATTGAGGATTTCACATCCCAGCTATTGATGAGTGAGTTCTTGCCAGACAGGATGCTATCAAACTAAGTTTCCTTTTACTTCTTCTAGGCACTTCCCTTTCTCGGAGGTGATAGGCATTATCAGGACAGGATTGTATCCTAACAGCCCAATAGCACCTTATTTCAATGTGACTAGTCTGGAATTTGAGGAGGTGACCGGTCGCTTCCCAGCTTATGGCTGCCTCTGCTGCTTAGCCAAAGGCCTTAGCCTAAGAACAGAGCCTCAGACTGTCACAGTGAGAGAAGGCCCTTTCACCAGCAGACAGTGATTTTGATTCTTTCTTTTATACCTCTATAACTAGCCAAGTGACAAGAATACACCTAAATTCTTAGAGTACAGGCCTTTACAGACAGGCCTGAATATCTATATCCTAACAAAGAGCATATCCCAAATCATGAAGTCTTGGTCTTGATTTTCATAGGTGTTGAGCATTCACAGCTTCCACTGGTGGACTTCTGGGTGCTCAGCACTTC